AAACACAGGCAATAACTTCTTTGACCTTAGCCGTAGCAACTTCTTACTAGACATGTTACCACAGGCAAGAGAAACAAAAGCAAAAACGAACTATCGGGACTAAATCAAGATAAAAAGCTTCTGCACAGAGAAGAAAACAATCAACAAAACTAAAAGGCAGCCTATGGAATGGAAGAACATATTTGCAAACAATATATCTGATAAAGGGTTAGTTTCCAAAATCTATAAAGAACTTTTCAAACTGAACACCCAAAAAAACAAATAATCCAGTTAAGAAATGGGCAAAACACATGAACAGACACTTTTCCAAAGAAGACATCCAGATGGCTAAAAGATACATGAAATGGTGCTCAACATCACTCATCATCAGGGAAATACAAATCAAAACCATGATGAGATACCACCTCGCACCTGTCAGAATGGCCAAAATTAACAACACGAGAAACAACAGATGTTGGTGAGGATGAGGAGAAAGGGGAACCCTTTTATACTGCTGGTGGGCATACAAACTCGTGCAGCCCCTGTGGAAAACAGTATGGAGGTTTCTCAGGAAGTTAAAAATAGAACTACCTTTCGATCCAGTAATTGCACTCCTAGGTATTTACCCCAAAGGATACAAAAATACATATTCAAAAGGGTACATGCACCCCAATGTTCATAGCAGCATTTTCAACAATAGCCAAACTATGGAGAGAGCCCAAATGTCCATCAACTGATGAGTGGATAAAGATATGGAAATGTGGTGTATGTGTGTATCTATGTATATGTGTGTGCGTATATATATACACACATACATATGTATGTATATATATGTAATGGAATATTACTCAGCCATCAAAAAGAATGAAATTTTATCATTCACAATGATGTAGGTGGAGCTAGAGTGTATTATGCTAAGTGAAATAAGTCAGAGAAAGACAAATACCATATGATCTCACTCATGTAGAATTTAAGAAAGAAAATAGATGGGGTGCAGGCCGTTAAACATCTGATTCTTGGTTTTGGCTCAGGTCATGATCTCAGGGGTCCTGGGATCGAGCCCTGTGTCATGCTCCACACTCAGTATTGAGTCTGCTTGAGATTCTCTCTCTCCCTCTGCCCCTCTCACTTGTGCTGTCCATAAATACATAAATAAATAAGTTTTTAAAAAAGAAAGAAAATTGATGAACATAATGGTGGGGGAGAGGGAAACAAACCATGAGAGACTCTTAAAAATAGAGAACAAACTAAGGGTTGATGGAGGGAGGTGGTTGAGGGATGGGCTTGGTGGCTGATGGGTATTAAGGAGGCGCTTATGATGAGCACTTGGTGTTATATTTAAGTGATGAATTACTGAATTCTCCTAAAACCAATACTGCACAGTATGTTAACTAAAATTTAAATTAAAAAAAAAAGAATAAAGAGGATCTAAAACATCCCCTCCCAAAAGAAAATTAGTGTATTGACTACAAATCATCCAGATCTAACAGACATTTTGAGAATACTTTGCTACCAACAGAATATACAACTCCTTAAGTGCACAAGGAAGTTTCTCCAGGATAGATTATATGCCAGGCCACAAAACAAACCTCAATAAATTTTAAAAGGTCTGAAATCATACGAAGTGTGTGTTTTCTGATAACAGTGAAATGAAACTAAAAGTCACTAACAAAAAAATTGGGAAATTCATGAATACGTAAAAATTAAATAACACTTCTTAATCCAGTGGGTCAAAGGAGTCACAAGGAAAATTAGAAAATTCTTTGAGATGAATGAAAATGAAGACCAAACATACCAAATGTGGGATGTAAGTACAGCAGTGTTCAGAGGGAAATTCATAGTTACAACTTTCTACAGTAAAAAGGAAGAAAGATACCAAAATCAAAAAGCTAATCTTCCACCTTAAGACAACAGACGTTAAGAGAAATGAGGAGCAGTAATCAAAAGGGTTTGAAATGGGCTAAGGAGATGGAATGGAAGGAAAGCCCAGATAGAGAAGAAAAACAATTTCTCTTTGTTACTGGAGCAGAGAAAAGTATGATTATTTCTATGTTTGCTGTAAGATTATAAAGTTACCATCTTTACCACTTTCATCTGTTTTCTATGTGAAGGTAGACTTGAGGTGAAGCTGGATATGAAGTGACCAAAAGGATAGAGCATTGGAGATTTGAAGAATAGTCCCCATGTAATGTGGTTGAAAAGTCCTTGTGTGGAGTTGACTACAGAAAATTATTAGGAATATCAGGCCATTGAGGATCCTTTGGAGGCTGGTAGCAGTGTATTCTAGAGAACTACTGAGCTGCCCTGTTGTGTGATTCCCTCAGCTGCATTCGGGTCGGTGGGGAAGGCATAGAAAAGGCAAACATTGATATTCACATATGGCTAGGATTTTTGCTAGTCGGGTGAGATGGAAAGAAATGGGCAAGGAAATTTAGGATGTTGAAATGATAGGCCATGGTACATGAGCTAGATAAGGATGAACCAAAGAAAGTAAAAAACTAATGAATAGGGAGCAAGTAGAGGGGTCAATGAACCAGAGTCACCAGGAGGTCTGACAGACAGCTCCACGAGGGCAGGGAATCTGTTCTGTTTACTAATGTGGCCCAACCCCCAGAATAGTGCCTGGCACATATTTGTATTGAACGAATCACCAGGGCAGAGCTGGGATCATTTATAAGCAAGCTGGAAGAACGGGAGGTTGTGGTCAGAGTCAGATGACTGAATGAGGGATGGAGGAGGCAAAGCATCATCAGTGACACCTTGTAATGTCTGACACACTCGTGTGGTAGGTTCTCCGTAACTCTTAGCCTTCATCATTACTTTTTTTGGCCTGTTATAGGAATTACTTATTTTTAAAGAAATAGAGTCATTTCTCTACCATTGGATAAGTTGACCTTTCCTAAATAAGTATCATTTAAAGCCATTGGAAAAATCGGGGTTGTTAGATTCTACCTCACATGGGTGGAAGAAACCAACAAAGTGCTAGCAGGAATTCCCTTCCTTTCCAGATTAGCCCTGTCTAGTTGTGAAAGCTGGAAGCTTAAAGGACCTCTAAAGCTTCCTGTTGTTCTGTTTCTTTTGCTTATCACAGGTGTGGACCCTTTTATATTTGCAACACTGCATCACCTCTCTAAAGTATATTGACCTTTCAGTAGGCTTTCAAAGCCCTCTCTTTTGCTTTTAGTACAGGCATACCTCGTTTTCCTGTGCTTCACTTTATTGCATTTCACAGAATAGTGTGTCTTTTACAAATTGAAGGTTTGCAGCAACCGCGCATCAAGCAAGTCTGTTGGCACTATTTTTCCAACAGCATTTGCTCACTTCGTATCTGTCACGTTTTGGTAAATCTCATAATATTTCAAACTTTTTCATTATTATTAGATTTGTTATGGTGATCTATGATCAGTGATTTGACTTGCTAAAAGCTCAGGTGATGGTAGCATTTTTTAGCAATAATGTATTTTTAAATTAAGATATGTACATTGGTATTTTTTTTTTTAGATAAAATGCTATAGTACCCACAGTAGACTACAGTATAGAGTAAACATAACTTTTATATGCACCAGGAAACCAAAAAACTCATTTATTATGGTATTTGCTTTATTGCAGTGGTCTGGAACTGAATCCTCAATATCTCCAAGCTATGCCTCAAGGGGTCTGAAGTCTCATTTAAAATTAAGGATGGCTGTTTGCAAAGGAAAAGTTTACAGAAGGAGGCTGAAATGATAATCTTGTTTTTAAACAATGCCAGTGTTTTCCCAGTTAGCTAAATTAATCAAAGAAGTATTTTGATTTTGAGGATTCACCTCATTTTTGAATGCCTAAAGTCGTACTTACCCTGTTTCTCCCCCACACCCCGTCATATAATTACTTGTACACAGTCAATAATAAGTCTGTGCTGACTGATCTTTAATTGTAGAATAAGCAGTCCTCTGAAATGCCCTGCCCTCTACCTCTTTGCATGGTAAATTTCTTTTATGATCTATGTCAAGTATCTCCTCCCAAACTATCCCCAGCTCTTACGGGCAAATGAACAGGCCTCTGTCCTTAGAGTAGCTCACACTAATTTCTATTACACTGCCATTTATTTATTTGTATATCTGTTCCTGTCCTTGCCTTTTATCTACCCAGGAGCAGGGACTTTGTCCTATTCATCTTAGTGTCTGCAGTGCCCTGTGTGTGCCTGCCATGTTTGAGGTACTCCAGAATTGTCTGGCAAATGAATTTGACAGCAAGAAAACACATTTACAAATACTTTGTAGACTTAGGTTGGAAAACCCTGCCCTCTAAAGGATTTTGCCTCTTTAGAGTTTTCTGCAGTTAGGACACTGCTGTTATGTGAGCAATGATTAATTGATTATGGCTCTGTGATCCAACCAGTAGATGCAATTAACTTAGAGAAAGTTAGCCTTTTTTCCCATACCAACTTATTTTAAATTAAGCCTAGCATATAGTTGGTACTCTGTGTAGATTTGTTAAGAGTACAGATGTCCTCCCAAGATGTTAACATTGACCATTATTGGGGTGGTGATATTTTTGTTTTTAACTTTTTTCTTCAGATGTAATGTTTTCATTCTCTGAATTTTCTATTTCAGTATATATATTGGGAAATATGTTTTCCACTTTTAAAAGATAAGATACAGAATGGAGACAGTTAAGAGAAATAAATGCTTTGGTACAATTTGGAACAACTCCACTGGGTCACATTGGGCCAGTCCATGCTTTGGTAACAAATCTCAGTGGCTTAGAAAAGCAAACGTTGATTTGCTGAGGGACGGCTGGGGATCTTTTACACCCAGTGTCTCAGATCCAAGCATCCCTCCATCTCAAAGTGGCTTCTGCAGTTGCTGTAGCCAGGGGAGAGACAGGTGGGGAGACCTACCAGCTCCCAGCAGCCTCAGCACATGTCCCTTTGCCATGGCTAACATGAGTGCCGTGGCCCCAAGCTTCCTGCAAAGTGTAATGGAAAATGTAGAAGAACATCAGTTGTCTTTAACGTGATATAACTCTTTATTTTACAGTTACTGTAATGAATGTATGTTGGATCCAGACTGCGGTTTCTGCTACAAGATGAACAAATCAACTGTCATTGACTCCTCCTGTGTTCCAGTTAACAAAGCATCTACGAATGAGGCAGCCTGGGGCAGGTATGTCATCCTTTATATACCATAAGAACATAAAATACAATTTCATAATGAGACTTTTTTTATTATTGATTATATTACCTATGCTATACATTTCATCTGTGTGACTTATTTATTTTATAACTGGAAGTTTATACCTTTTAATCCCATTTACCTATTTCCTCCATCCCCCAGCCAACCTCTCCTCAGGCAACCACCAGTCTGTTCTCTGTATTTAAGAATCTGTTTTTTTTTGCTAGTGTGTTCACTTGTTCGTTCTTAAATTCTACATATAAGTGAAATCATATGGTATTTGTCTTTCTCTGACTCATATCACTTAGTATAATACCCATGAGGTCCACCCATGTTGTCACAAAAGGCAAGATCTCATTTTTTTTATGTCTGAGTAGTATTCCATTGTCGTCTGTATGCCATATCTTCATCTAATCATCTATTTTGGACACTTGGGTTGCTTCCATATCTTGACTATTGTAAATAATGCTGCAGTAAACATATGCGTATATGTATCTATCTTTTCAAATTGGTGTTTTGGTTTTCTTGGGGTAATTACCTTGTAGAGGAATAACTGGATCAACTATTTTAGTTTTTTGAGGAACCTCCGTGTTTTTCATAGTGGGCTGCACCAGTTTACATTCCCACCAACAGTGCACAATGGTTCTCTTTTCTCCATGTCTTCATCAACACTTGTTATATCTTATTTTTTTGATACTAGCCATTCTCACAGGTGTGAGGAGCTATTTCACTGTGGTTTTGATTTGCATTTCCCTGATGATTATTGATATTGAGCATCTTTTCATGTGTCTGTTGACCATCTGGATGTCTTGTTTGGAAAAATGTCTGTTTAGGTGCTCTGCCCATTTTTTTTTTTAACTTAAGATTGGATTTTGGTATTGAGTTGTCTGGATGTCTTCTTTGGAAAAATGTCTGTTTAGGCGCTCTGCCCATTTTTTTTTAACTTCAGATTGGTTTTTAGTATTGAGTTGTGTAAATTCTTTTTATATCTTGGATGTTAACCCTTTATCAGGTATATCATTTGCAGATATCTGCCCCCATTCACTAGATTGCCTTTTTATTTTGTTGATGGTTTCCTTTGCTGTGCAAAAGTTTTTATCCCAGGGATGCAAGCATGGTTCAATATTCATAAACCATTCCTTGTGATACATCACATTCACAAGAAGAAGGATAAAAACCATATGATTATTTCAATAGATGCAGAAAAAACATTTGACAGAATGCATTTGTTTGTGATAAAAACTTTAAACAAAGTGGGTTTAGGAGGAAACATACCTCAAACTAATAAAGTCTACATATGAAAAACCCAGAGGTAATATCATAGTCAGTGGTGAAAACTGAAAGCTTTTCCTCTAAGATCAGGAACAGGACAAGGATGTTCATTCTCAATACTTTTATTCAACATGGTACTAGAAATCCTAATTGCAGCAGTCAGACAAGAAAAGGAATTAAAAGGCATCCAAATTGGTAATTATTTGCAGATAACATGATACTATATATAGAAACCCTAAAGACTCCAAAGAACTATTAAAACTGATAAATGAATTCAGTAAAGCTGCAGCATACAAAATTAATATGCTGAAATCTATTGCATTTTTATACACTAATAACAAAGTAGCAGAAAGAGAAGAAAACAATTCCATTTACAGTTGCATCAAAAAAATAAAAATAAAAGACCTTAAAATAAATTTAACCAAGGAGATGAAAGACCTGTACTCTGAAAACTGAGACAATGATGAAAGAAATCAAAGAGGACATAGACAAACAGAAAGTTATATCATGCTCATGGAATAAAAGAATTAATACCATTAAAATGTCCATACTATCCAAAGCAATCTACAGATTCATTGCAATCCCTGTCAAAATACCAACTGCATTTTTACAGAACTAGAACAAATAATCCTAAAATTTATATGGAATCACAAAAGACTTCTAAGAGTCAAAGCAGTCTTGAGAAAAAGGAACAAAGCTGAAGGTATCACAATCCCAGATTTCAAAGTATATTACAAAGCTGTAGTAATCACAAGAGTATGGCACAAAAATAGGTACATAGGACAGTGGAACAGAATAGAGTCCAGAAATAAACCCATGCTTTATGGTCGATTAATATATGACAAAGGAGGCAAGAATATACAATGGGGAAAAGAGTCTCTTCAATAAATGGTGTTGGGAAAACTAGACAGCTACATGCAAAAGAATGAAACCGGACCACTTTCATACACCACACACAATAAACTCAAAATGGATTAAAGACCTAAATGTGAGACCTGAAACCATAAAATAACTAGAAGAAAACATAGGCTGTAATCTGACATCAGCCTTAGCAATATTTATGGATATGTCTCCTCAAGCAAGGGAAACAAAAGCAAAAATAAATTATTGAGACTATGCCAAAATAATAACCTTTTGCACAGCAAAAGAATAAGTCTTATTTTTAAACTTATAGCGTGAATGCCTTTATAGTCAATGACTGCAGTTCTTTTAAACTGTCTTTTAAATGGATTTTCACAACCGTATTACTTTGCAGCATATACTGATATAAGGCGGCACTATAAAGCTACACTTGTATGTTTCACAAACTTAGAGTAGAAAGCACTCAAGCCTAGACTTTAGGAAATTCAGGTCCAGACCCAATTCTGTCCTAAGCTATAGAAGGTTGGCTCTTGAGTCAGATGTTACTACGTATTTCCAAGGCAATTCTCCCATTGCATATTGTTTAACTACCCCAGTAATTTTCAAACTCTGAAACTTAAGTAAAAGAAAATTTTCAAGTCACAATAAATTGATATCACTTTAAATTCTTTCATGCAACTATTGTTTTCTTTGAGTACATTCCTGGAATTTAGTAAAATTAAGCAAAGTAATGATAAAAGTTGGTAATCATTGGCAGTAACCAGTCTGGGAAGCTATAAACTTTTCTCTTTTTGACCGATTACATTGGTTTGTAGTAGGCACATAAATGAAATATTTGTATAAATAAATATTCCCCACATTTATGAACTCCTGTCATATCCATGGACATAGGAAATATGTAAATATTATTTGATACGGTCTTAACCTCTGATGTATCCTAAATTCCCATAAAAAGAATAATATTCTCTCTTTCTGTCTGCCTCATAGAACTGATGAAGGCAATGAAATCTGTTAATTACTTGTATCTCCTAGAAGCTATAAAGTATAATGTATTATTATTAATCATTATGCTGTTATCATTAATCATTTTATTAGGGAATTACTGCAAAGAAGTAGAAGTAAATTATATAGTATTTGACTGAAAATCCAGACTACATTTTAAATATACTAATTACAAAGAAATATGTAAAAGAAATGCAATTATTACTTAAAATGAAAACTTGAAAGAGCTTGTTTTAAAAACACCCAGTATATAATTTTCATCAGCCAAGCTTCATTAGTGAGTTAATTGATTAAATATTTCTGGATGTAATGCTTTACAGTTTTAGCCCTTATGATTCTTTTTTCAATAGATGAAAACTGTAAGTTTGCTTGTCTGGAATTATGAATATGTCACAAAATCTGTGTATGTAGTTTCCTGTACTTCACAGAATTAACTTAAAAATATATTAGAAATGTATACTAATGATAAGGGGCACTAAAATTAGGCATTTCTCTCATCCTCAGTAGAAGGTCTAGAGGTCTCAGGCCCCAAAATAGGAGTTTTGTTCCTACTGTTGGCAAATAACAGATAATACAACTTTTTAATAGAAATGTATACTACTTCTTTTATGTTAACTTATTCTTACATTTTATTTATATATTTAGAGCATTTTGCCTTGAGGTGTACTCACTACTAGAGAAAAGTGAGGCACAGATAATGCCTAGGGAAAAACATGAAGAACAGAACTTCTATGTTTGTAGAATATTCTTAGAATATTTTCAAACTCTTTACCATTCCCCTTCAAAAAAAGACAGTTTTCCTGTCACTCTTCTCTGTGCTGAGTGACAGGCCTCATCTAACTTAGCCACTATGGTTGGTTGCTCTGTGCTAGAAAGAAAGCAAAAAAAAAAAAAATGTGTTTGCCATGAGAAATTCCTACAACACATTTTCCATTTATGTGGTAAACTAGCATTCACTATATTTTTGTTGGTTGATAGGTTTTATACAGTTACTTGGAGTAGAATTCTCATGGCAAAATCTACCATTAACCTTGGATTTACATCTGAGATACACTGTTTACAGATATTTCAGGGTCAAGTTTTGGGGAAATTCAGAGCCATATATCCTGATCTCTTAACTATAGCTGTTTCCTGAAAAGACACCAGGTGGAATGATAATACCACTCATGATGGAGATAATATAATGATTTTGGTGAACTCTGAATTGTCTCAACATAAAAACTATTTGCTTACATAATCTACTATAATAAATCGGAAACAAAACATTAAGTCAGTTGGCATGCTTTTCTAATATCTGTTGTTAAATTTCAGTAAAAAAGTTTTTTTCTAAAAATCAGTTCTCTAGGGGCGCCTGGGTGGCTCAGTTGGTTAAGCGACTGCCTTCGGCTCAGGTCATGATCCTGGAGTCCCGGGATCGAGTCCCGCATCGGGCTCCCTGCTCAGCAGGGAGTCTGCTTCTCCCTCTGACCCTCTTCCCTCTCGTGCTCTCTATCTCTCATTCTCTCTCTCTCAAATAAATAAATAAAATCTTAAAAAAAAAATCAGTTCTCTAAAGAAGATGCACAATTGGCCAACAAGCACATGAAAAACTGTACATCCCTAATCATTAGGAAATGCAAAACAAAATTATAATGAGACACCACCTCATACCCATTAGGGTGGCCACTATTAAAGATTTATCTATAACAATTGTTGTGGAGGATGTGGAGAAATTGGAAACTGTGTGCACTATTGATGGAAATGTAAGGTGGTGCAGCCACTATGGAAAGAGTGGTGATTTCACAAAATTTTACAATAGAATTACATATCCTCTAACAATTCCATTTCTGAGTACATATGCTAAAGAATTGAAGGCA